CAGTTTGTTAATACAACTCATCATAGGAGAGGCACTGATCTAAAAACACTCCAAGATCCTTTGCTACAGGTGTCGATGGTATTGTTTTTCCACAAAGTGTTATTGAAAAGTCAAGTATATAACTGTTGTAGCAATTGCGGCATGCCTATCACAAGAAGTTTAGTTTTATCTGGATTCATAAGCAGTGAATTGTGACAGCACCACCTAGACAAATTTCATTTAGATCAGGGTTAATTGCGGAGACTACGTTACATAGCTCATTAGATTTAAATTTCAAGTAAAGTTTAGAATCAGCAACGTAACAAGCAGTTTGACCATAGTTAACTATGGTTTGACAAAGTTCAGGTACAGTTAATAAATCATTTATATAAACAGTGACAGAACAGGGCCACGAATGGACCACTGTGGAACTCTATAATTCACTGGGAGAGACTGGGAAACCCCATCCCCAATACGAACGTAGTGATACCTTCCTTTTAGGTTAGAACCATTCCAGCGCTGATGGAGACACACCAAGGCTACGAAGTTTAACCAATAACAAGTCATAGTTTATACTGTCAAAGACTTTTGACATGTCCTTCAACACCAATATTGCGATTTTTTTTCATCCATAGCTTTTAATACGTCATCAGTGACAGACAGAAGAGCCGTTTCAGCGGAATGGTGTTTCTGATTGCCACTTTGGAATTGTGACAGCTTGTTGTTATTGTCTAAGAACGTGACAAATTGTCTGTGAGCCAACATTTACTTTGGATAATACCGGTAGCAGTGATATGGGTCGATTGTTACATGGGTCTCTAGCATTACCATCTTTAGGAACACAAGTCACTTCTGCAATTTTCCAGACACGTGCGAACGTATTAGATTTAAAGGAATTGTCCATCAGGGATGTGATTATATGCAAAGTAGCTGGTAAACTATCCTTAAGTATACTTGCTGGAATTTTGTCAAAGCCGGGTGCTTTATTGGAAGGCAAATTTAGGATAACATTCGCCACATCGTTCTCTGATACAGGCTGAAATTCAAACTGCTCACTCAGCGCAGGAATGTTAGGGGTTGCCTAGACGTTTAAATCTAGCCCGCGAGAAAGCTCTCCATGTGGGTGATATCGTGTAAAGTAGACGCGCGAGAGGCACGCGAAAGGAGACAAGTGTTCTCGCGCGGCTCGCTTCGCTCGAACAAATAGCTTGTTCGCAGGCTAGTTTGACTCCAAAGTCCAATTTTGGTCCTTGGCCAACTGATTGGCTTTAAGAACTGTTAAACTTGTAACCGATGCGAACTACTTATCATCAAGAGCTACGCTAGCGCTATTGCCAATTAACCGTATTAATATGTCTAAAAACAATGACATTTTCAAGTTACTTTGAAAAAGAAATGTTGTCAAATATTTCGAACAAGGAAAGAGGGTCAGAAAACACCTGCAAAAACGGATGATCTAAATCAACACTCGGCCGAATACCTGCTATTCTTTCAAGATGAAGTTGTGGCTTGAATTCATTTTCTTTTTCAAGGGGGTCACTGTTCTCTGTCTGGATTAAAATCTCCTTTAAGATTTTAAGACAGTCGATTCCAAGACAGCCTGTGAGGTTGTAGGATTATTATTACCTAAACAATTTTTTTTCGAGACACTTTCATTCAAAACAAAACAAGTTGTTTCCCTCCTTGATTGACATAATGTGTAGGCCCGATTTACGTGGAAAAAATCTGTCACCCTTCTAGGAGAGTCAACTTAATCTTTTTATCTCATTTAAACGGTTCGCCACGTTCTGTAGGAAATGTACCACCCCACTGACTAGCTCGGGTAGGAGGGTGACCTTTTTACCCAGTACAACTGTTCTCCATATTAACGCGGCCTAACGTTTACCGCTTACAAGCCATCTGGCAGGCGGTACAGGATAGCACTACATAGGGCATGAGGGAAAATCATTCAGCTTGTTTATTTTATTGTCACCTTTCGTAACCTTAGAAAGTGCAAAAAAAGTGTTTCAAGAATTGTACTTCCATAAGAGACTGAGCTCCGGGTATAACAAGGAAGCCGTTTGGCCCTGGCGTGATGAGAAACAAAGAATAACACTTTGATAGAAGGTGGTCTCTCTCTCAGAATCAGAGTTTGCTCTCTTTCACAATTTACACGTCATGGCTCCTCAGTAAGTAAGTGGAGCCGTATTATCCAATAGTCAAGAACAATTTCGATGCTTGGCTCACCAACGAACGATACATTTCTTTATTTTTTACTCCCCAAAGCCTCATTGATGTTGCAAGTTGATTTTTTTATTTCAGTTAATTTTTGTATTTCCTTTTTTTCAAATTCATCAGCATTCATTACCATACCCCAAAACACTAAAAAATAGAAATTAACTGAGATAAAAAATAGCTACAACACCAACAAGTATGGCAAGTATATCATAGATGGTATACCCTCCAGAGAGGCCTGCAGAAGCTTTTTTGCGTCGCAGGGAGGCTAAAGAAAAGGAGAAAAATAAGCGTCCACTGCGTGCGGACTGTTTTCAATTAATTCAACTACGAGAGAATGAGCTCATCATTCCTCTCTTGTTCAATCTATTTTTATTAGAATACCCATATAGGAGGAGATGGAGAAACTACCGAGAGGTAACTTCGGGTTAAGGTTCTGAGCACTCCACTTTAATGATAATCTAATTTCGAGGGCCTTATAATTCAAAACAATACTCCTTCTCTAAATCTATTCTTCTGAGATTGAAGGGTCAAAATGATTGTTCTCTGTTTTAGGTAATTACCTGTAACAGCTGATGGAAGAGATTCAAAGGTTGCGTTTTAAGTAGTAGTCCGTAATTTTTATTAGCTGAGCAAAAATGCTGGCGCGTAGTGAAAAAACGATTTTGATTTTTTTTCTACTCATTTCTATATTATATACAATCACAGTGCTATGCTAGCAATAGGGTTGATCAGAGTACAGTAGAACGGACACACTTTAAATCTCTAACTCAACTCTAGACCTGCAAGCAAGGATACAGCAACCTCTGGAAACGCTTCACCACTCGATCAGTCCGCGCCTTTATGAATCGGATTTCGTAATTGTTGAATTGTTAAAGGGGAAACCCGTGTTGTATTTAGAATGCCTTTAGAGAAAGGATGTCTAGTAACCCCAAGTTGGTATAGACTGTCTAAGAACGTGGAAAAGTACATATGGAGCGAAACTAAATTTTTAAAAACTCTTACCTTCCGTGTTCATAGGAGCTGTTTGTGCTGAAATAAAACGTGAAAAATTGAGATACTTGAAAGACCAACTGAAGTAATATGTAGGGTACAGACAAGGCGCAGTATCGTTACATTAATTTACAATTTACAATGCAAACTGGTGCTTAGGGGAAGTATTGAAATTTGCATCTTAACGGGCATGGAGAAATGGCTCATCCTCGGTGTAAAAACCTGTGAAACTCACGAGTGACGTAGAACACTCCAGCCAACCGTATTAATAGCTGTGGTCACACTACAGACTTTTACCTAGGTAAAACCGATTTACCTAGGGCAAATTCATCAAAAATCTGCCTAGGTGAATTCATCTCGGGTTTTGTTTTACCTAGGTAAAAATTCTGGGAAGGTCACACTACTGATATCGGCTCCCAAGGTTTTCACGCCAGTTGAATTTTTTGGAGCGTAAATTCAAGAAGGCAAAATGCGCAGGGATCTCGCTGATCAAAGAGAGGTTTTTTTCTTTTATCTCGCTGTTATTTCTTTTGTTAATTCAACGTGCAAGGTGAAGAAAGGCGAAGACGTAGACGACTCGTGCTCCCAAAATTTCTTTCACAGCGTGATCTATGACCGGTTCTGTCATCAAGACCTTCGCCGATGAGCGTCTAAAAAATAGAAATTAACTGAGATAAAAATTTAGCTACAACACCAACAAGTATGGCAAGTATATCATAGATGGTATACCCTCCAAAGAGGCCTGCAGAAGCTTTTTTGCGTCGCAGGGAGGCTGAGGAGAGGAGAAAAATAAGCGTCCACTGCATGCGGACTGTTTTCAATTAATTCAATCACGAGAGAATGAGCTCATCATTCCTCTCTTGTTCAATCTATTTTTATTAGAATACCCATATAGGAGGAGATGGAGAAACTACCGAGAGGTAACTTCGGGTTAAGGTTCTGAGCACTCCACTTTAATGATAATCTAATTTCGAGGGCCTTATAATTCAAAACAATACTCCTTCTCTAAATCTATTTTTCTGAGATTGAAGGGTCAAAATGATTGTTCTCTGTTTTAGGTAATTACCTGTAACAGCTGATGGAAGAGATTCAAAGGTTGCGTCTTAAGTAGTAGTCTGTCGTTTTTAATAGCTGAGCAAAAATGCTGGCGCGTAGTGAAAAAACGATTTTGATTTTTTTTCTACTCATTTCTATATTATATACAATCACAGTGCTATGCTAGCAATAGGGTTGATCAGAGTACAGTAGAACGGACACACTTTAAATCTCTAACTCAACTCTAGACCTGCAAGCAAGGATACAGCAACCTCTGGAAACGCTTCACCACTCGATCAGTCCGCGCCTTTATGAATCGGATTTCGTAATTGTTGAATTGTTAAAGGGGAAACCCGTGTTGTATTTAGAATGCCTTTAGAGAAAGGATGTCTAGTATCCCCGAGTTGGTATAGACTGTTTTAAGAACGTGGAAAAGTACATATGGAGCGGAACTAAATTTTTAAAAACTCTTACCTTCCTTGACCAAAGCAACTGTTTGTGCTGAAATAAAACGTACAGAATTCAGATAATTGACCAACTGAAGTAATATGTAGGGTACAGACAAGGCGCAGTATCGTTACATTAATTTACAATTTACAATGCAAACTGGTCCTTAGGGGAAGTATTGAAATTTGCATCTTAACGGGCATGGAGAAATGGCTCATCCTCGGTGTAAAAACCTGTGAAACTCACGAGTGACGTAGAACAATGAATACAAAGAAGCCACTGACAAGTCAATAGAGCCAAGGAAAATAATAGCTAGAAACCAAAGAAAAACTTCACAGGTTTTTACACCGAGCTAAACCTGGAGAAATACCTTTTTGTCTTTCAAACTCATTTTTACGACTTTTTCGTTGCTCAAACTCTTCCACTTTCTTAAGCAGATCGTTTTTTTCCGTCTGGGTCAAAATCTCCTTCACGATTTCGAGGCAGTCGATTCCAAGACAGTTTTTGCTTTCTAACTCCTTAAACAATGACCTTGCATCATGGATACTCGCTCGTCTTCCTTCTGTTATATTTCCTTTGCAAATCGAGATGATTCGTTCCAGATCATTAAGCTCGTCGAGTCCTCGTACAATCTGCTCAAGCAAGTTGTTGTATTCCTTTCTTTTGTGCTCAAACGTTTCAACCTTTTCTAGAAAAGCCAGTTCCCTGACGCCTTTTAAAATGGTCTTCAATACCGTTAGACGATCGGGACTCAGAAATCCTTTCTTTTCTAAGTCTAAAAACAACGACAAGGTAGGGATGCTTTCTTCACTACGAGCCGCCAACAATCCACTGCATATCACAAGTAATTGCTGGCCTGCATTTATGTCGTCGAGTCTTTGGCTGATTTGGCGCAATAAATTGTTATATTCGATCGCAGACATTTTTCATGTAAAACTACGCCTCCTCTTCCTCTTTTGAGTATCACATCCTAATCACATTTGTAGAGGTATTTGTGAAACAGACATGATAGATTATTCAACTTGGATGCGATCAGGCAAGTTTCACTCCAATTGTCACTCGAAATAATAATGCATTTGCATACAAATTTCGTGTCAATAACGCTAAAATAGCCTGTTCCAGACTCCAAGGCTGTAGTGTGCAAAGATCGTGAAAACTCATGCGGAAAACGCAAAGGGTCAGGCCAGAGGAAACCACTCCCTTACTTAGAACACGCGCGCTCTATGGTTCCCTTGACATCGTTTTCGCGACGTCTCCACTATCTGAGAGCCTGGGACAGACTAATACTGTAATTCCAAGTCACAGTCGAACCTTTACTAACAACCATCTCTGTACGATGGCCACTGTTTATTCCCGGGGGGGGGGGGGTACTGCCATATATGGGCTATATAGGTATGTGCCGCTGCGCTGTGGAGGGTATGGTTTTCAAGCAGGTTACTCTAGGTGGATAGGGTATATAAATCAGAGCGTTTGGGTCTAGAATAGGGTATCATTTTTCAGGAAACTGATCAGTAGGTTGAAAATTTTATCTAGACTAGGGATTGTCGTATAAGGTTTTGTTTTGGCTAGACTGTGCTTGTGACCTAGTTTCTGGAAAACAGCTACTCTAGGATAGGGGGAATTTGGGGAATTTACTCTAGTATAGGGTAGCAAAATTCAGCTGAACTAGCTCTGGTATAGGTTAAGGGTTCCAGGGTCCCAGCGGCACATCCCCACCCAGAAATTCCTTAAGTACCCCCCCCCCCGTTTGGTCATTGTCCCTGTGGACATTTCCTATTAATCTCTTTATCACTCAACTGTCACCTCTTTACATCTCTCTACAAAGACAGCAGCCACAAAATTTCTTCCCAACTGCCAAAATAACCTTGTGGCATTCCAAACAGTTTAGTAAATTGAACGATGAACGAACTAATGTACTCAAGGAAAGCTGTACTTTACTCACTTAAACGTTAACTCGCGTTAACTTCTTCGAAACTTGCGGCTTTTTGTTTCATTGACATATTGATCGTGTTAGGAACCTGAGGGAGGAGCGTTCATAATTTATGGGGTGGTGGGGGGCTACGAGAAATTTTCAGTTTAAAAGAATAATTTATGACTGACCTCATTAAAATGCTTTTGAACCTCCCCCCCCCCCCCAAAAAAAAAGCACAGGGTTTCAAGGGATAAAATGTGGTGCCTTGCCCTGCTATTTGTTCGTATCTGTTTCATCTTGCATTCAAGAATCATTACAAAATAATAGTACTACTCACTAATAGTAATAATAATAAAAACAACGAAACAAGCAAAAAAACATATTACCTTGTGTCTTTTGATGTGTCTTCAATTGTGTGTGTTCTCCTCTAAAGCTATTTCAAAAACGTTTTGGCGAGTTTTAGATTAAAAGATACTTATCATTGTAAGTACAACTCGAAATCTAGAATTCGCGGCTCAAAACAGATCGCTAAGGCACAGCCACGTCATTGTCGTAGGAGTAGGAGCAGGGGAGGTAAGCCGTGTGTCCCCCCCTCCTTTTTGGAGAAAAGTCTAATTTATTAAGACTTCATTTTGCAGAGACAGCAAGTCTAGGGTATTTCACGAAGGACAAGAATAGGCCAAAGAACAAACAAAACGGTCACAACCAAGAACAAGCGGACATCCTCAAGAATAGTCAATTCTACATGCTGGTAACGTGGCAAAAGTACTCTTAAAATCAAAGGTATCATCGCTCTTCAGATGGTCCAGATGCTCCATTACCGTTTATCTTGCTTNACCCCCCCCCCCCCCCAAAAAAAAAGCACAGGGTTTCAAGGGATAAAATGTGGTGCCTTGCCCTGCTATTTGTTCGTATCTGTTTCATCTTGCATTCAAGAATCATTACAAAATAATAGTACTACTCACTAATAGTAATAATAATAAAAACAACGAAACAAGCAAAAAAACATATTACCTTGTGTCTTTTGATGTGTCTTCAATTGTGTGTGTTCTCCTCTAAAGCTATTTCAAAAACGTTTTGGCGAGTTTTAGATTAAAAGATACTTATCATTGTAAGTACAACTCGAAATCTAGAATTCGCGGCTCAAAACAGATCGCTAAGGCACAGCCACGTCATTGTCGTAGGAGTAGGAGCAGGGGAGGTAAGCCGTGTGTCCCCCCCTCCTTTTTGGAGAAAAGTCTAATTTATTAAGACTTCATTTTGCAGAGACAGCAAGTCTAGGGTATTTCACGAAGGACAAGAATAGGCCAAAGAACAAACAAAACGGTCACAACCAAGAACAAGCGGACATCCTCAAGAATAGTCAATTCTACATGCTGGTAACGTGGCAAAAGTACTCTTAAAATCAAAGGTATCATCGCTCTTCAGATGGTCCAGATGCTCCATTACCGTTTATCTTGCTTTTTTATACAAGATTAACACAATTTCACGTGCGTTACACCCACATCCACCAGGTTGCCAGCCCCATTGGCTATGACATGTGTAAGGCCCTACCCGAAATGATCGTGAGTGTCAAATCTACTTTAGGGGCCGCCCCCTCGGTACATATGAAACCAAGATGGCCCCCGGACCGGTAAACGCTCAATCATGTAGTCTCCTTCGCAGCCGTTGTTAGGGTCGTTATTGGGGAGGAGCGTTGCGTGACGACGCTAATAACGGCTGCGAAGGAGACTATTAATCATGACATAGTTAATGGAGGTGACTGGTTATGAAGCCCGGCAAACATCAAAGGAGCAAACAAAGATGCCAAGATTTATGTTAGAAGGTCCACGACCCTGCACAATCTTTTGTTTTGCGTTCATACGTTATGCATGAATTACGTAACCAGCACGTTTCTATTGGTTAGTTCCTCAGTACGGAGTAAACAACTATTGTGTTTTGTGCAGGGTCAAGGCCAAAAAAGAGAACAAAAACATACAACAAAGAACTTTGTCGGGTTTCATAACCATTCCCTCTATTAACTATG